TCAACCCGAGTTCTGCTGTGTGAATAGGAGCAATATTCAGCAGAGTGGGACGAGTTGTATTGGGTTTATGTGGCAAGGTTTTGGTAGCGGGGGGGGTTACAGGGGTGGCTCCTGTAAGAAGCTGCTGGAAGCTTCCCCTGTGTTCGAGAGAGAGTGAGCCCATACCAGCCGGCTCTAAGACGGACCCGCCGCTGGCCAAGGCCGAGCCAATCAGTGATAGTGGTAACGCCTCTGTGATAACATTTTTAAGAAGGAAAAAAGTTGGGACAGGGAGAAAACAGCCGCCAGAGAGAGGAGTGAGAACATGTAAGAGAAACAACCCTGCGGACACCAAGGTCAGTGCAGAAGGAGGGGGAGGAGATGCTCCAGGCGCCGGAGCGAAGATTCCCCTGCAGCCTGTGGTGAAGACCCTGGTGAGGCAGGCTGTCCCCCTGCAGTCCAGGGAGGTCCACGGTGGAGCAGATATCCACCTGCAGCCCGTGGAGGACCCCATGCTGGAGCAGGTGGGTTCCTGAAGGAGGCTGTGACCCCGTGGGAACCCTGCACTGGAGCAGGCTCCTGGCAGGACCTGTGGACCCATGGAGAGAGGAGCCCATGCTGGAGCAGGTTTTCTGGCAGGACTTGTGACCCCGTGGGGGACCCACGCTGGAGCAGTGTGCTCCTGAAGGACTGCACACTGTGGAAAGGACCCATGCTGGAGCAGTTCGTGGAGGACTGTCTCCCGTGGGTGGGACCCCATGTTGGAGCAGGGGAAGAGTGTGATGAGCCCTCCGCCTGAGGAGGTGAAGCGGCAGAAAATAATGTGTGATGACCGTAAACCCCATCCCTGTCCCCCTTGTGCCGCTGGGGGGGCTTGGTGGAGAAATCCGGGAGTGAAGTTGTGCCCGGGAAGAAGGGAGGGGTGGAGGGAAGGTGTTCTGAGATTTCGTTTTATTTCTCATTTACCTTACTCTGGCTGATTTGTAATAAATTGAGCTAATTTTCCCTAAGCTGAGTCTGTTTTGCCCGTGACGGTAATTAGTGAACGATCTCTCCTGTCCTTATCTCGACCTGCAAGCTTTTTTGTTATATTTTTCTCTCCCCTGTCCAGCTGAGGATGGGGGAGTGATAGAACTGCTTTGGTGGGCACCTGGCGTCCAGCCAGGGTCAACCCATCACGTCGGCTTATTGACGTGCCGAGACTTACCTTGTCCCTGCGGTACTGGGTGTGGAATACACACATATTCCTTATCCAAACCAACTGTCTGGTGCAGGCGTTCTGCTGTGAACATACTCTGGGTTTTTTTTTCCCCTTGATTTTCCTCCCAGGTCCAATTGCTACATGAGTAGGAAGCAGAATTGGGAGCCGGAGCCATCGGATTTCAAGTGTGTTGTTATTAGGCCAAGCAGGGTTTGATCTGTGCTGGTTAACTCCAGACATTTGAAATTTGCTTCCCCTTGAAATCATCTAATTTCGTCTCTCTGTCCTTAAAAAAGGCCTAAAATGCTTGTCCCGCAGCACTGCCTCTGGTTCTTAAATCCCTACTATCACTTCTCTTTGCTTGCATTTTGTCTGTCTACGGTTCTGCTGAGGTTAGACTTTTTTTTGTTCTCTCTCACTGCCTGCCTTTCGTTAATGAGGCATTTTTATGATTCTTCAGCATTCCGGGTGCTTTTGTAAAGTGCAGTTTAAAAGTATAACGCAAGAAATGCTGCCTTACTTTCTGCTAACGCCCGAGGGGAGCGAAACTGGAACATTTCCCAGCGCGTCCCTCTTGCCCTGTTGTGCTAATCCCTAGGCAGGCTCTTGTTGGAGATGCTCGAGCCAAAGCCCCTTGCTGCCGCGTTTGTTCCCGGTGTTTGCCAGGAAGCAGACTGTGCCGTGGGGAAAGGGGGTGGCCGGGAGGGGGAACGCGAGGCCTGAGCTGAATCTCTGCCCTTTTCCGAGCAGCGGGGTGTCCGGCCGCACTTTGAACCCCGGGGAGGGCGGAGGGGAGGGATGGTGGAGGCGGCTGGCTCTCTGCCTGGCTGCGGCACTCCAGCCGAGACGGAACATTCTCCGCAGCACCCCTCGCTCCGCTCCGTGTGGGGTGGAGGGTCGGAGCCCTTGGGGCAGGATGAGGCGCCTGCTCTGGGCCGGCTGCAGCCAGCTGCTGTCCTGGGAAGCCGGGCTCTGCGCTCGCAAGCTGTCTGCGGCTGCTGCGGCGGCCACCCCACACCGCAGCCCGTGGTCCCCGGCTGCCTCTGGCTCCTCGCCCGGTGCATCCATGGGGCTCCTCTGGCCCCCGGCCCTGGGGCACGGGGCCCCTTGCCGCTGGGGCTCGCAGTTCAATGTGCCCCCCAGTGCCCAGTTCGTGGCCCGGCCTGTGGGGGTCTGCTCCATGATGAAGCTGCCCATTCAGGCGTCGGCAGAGGGACTGGATGCAGCTTTCGTTGGCGTCCCTCTAGACACGGGCACATCCAACCGGCCGGGAGCCAGGTAAGGGCTAACTGTGGTGCCAGGGAAGCTGGTGCATTGCTTCGGCTGGCCGCCACAGCTCTCCTCCCGTGAGAGGAGCGCTGGGTGCGTGGTGCTGGCATCGGGAACTCTGCCCAGTAGCTTTTCCCGGCTGTGCTGTCTCCCCAGGTTCGGTCCGCGCCAGATCCGGGCCGAGTCGGCGATGGTGAGGAGGTACAATGCCAGCACCGGGGCAGCGCCTTTCGACTCCCTGCAGGTGGCTGACATCGGGGACGTGAACGTGAACCTCTACAACCTGCCCGACAGCTGCCGCCTCATCCGAGAGTCCTACCAGAAGATAGTGGCCTCTGGCTGTGTGCCCCTCACCTTGGGTAAGGACCCCACATCTCCCTGCCATGCCACTGCCTCCCCGCTCATTCAAACTCCCTCTCCTCCAGCCCTCGTTCAGTCTGAACACGGTGGAAGGTGAGCAATGAATCTCTCCTCTGCAGGGGGTGTTCTGCTAAATCATGGGCTAGATGGGTAAATCGTGGGTAAATTTACACGCTCTCTGTTGAAATGACTGCCATCCATGATGCCTCTTGTGTCAAAAATGGCGAGAATGGGTCAGCCGAGAGACTGTTCCAGTGCACAGCCTGAAGCTCAACCACAAATCCAGTCAGCAGTATGCTTTCAGTGTCCTGTTGAGCAGGACCCGAAGCAAGAGCAGTCTGTGTCCCTCTGAAAAGCTTCAAGCTTGAGCAAGTGCCTAGCAGCATGCTGCTTTGCACAAGGCATGATTTGGATGCGTATTCAAGTGTCCAGCTGTCGCAGCTTGGCATCGCTAAATGAAGCGAGTGTATATAGTAGCGTGGGGCAAATTATCAGTTACAACGTCCTCGGAAGTGAATCAAGCACCTATTTATAAACC